ACTGATTGGAAAGAGTTTCGAGGCCTTAGCAAAGTGAGGGAGAAGCAAAACAAAGTCTGGTGGTCTTGCTGAGTTGAAGACCTAGAACTTGGAGTTCACCGGGTTGAAGGCAGCTAGTATTTGTGAAGCGTATACTAAGGAGTTGATAGCTTCAGGGCCAGCAGGTGGCATGATGATTAAGACTCTGGACTTTCACATGACCAAAAACAGTTCAAGTCCTAGACCTGATGGCTTGCTTTCTCTCTCTCTCTTTCTCTCTCTCTCTCTCTCTGGTAAGCACACATGCCTGTAGCAAACTTAAAAATAGTAATAATAATAATAATTTTTTAAACTTTATTTATTTAATCTATTTTAATTTTACCAGAGAGTGACAGAGTGAGAGAGAGAGAGAAAGAAAGAAAGAGAGAGAGAGAGAGAGAGAGAGAGAGAGAAAGTGAGAAAGCAAGCTGCCAGGTCCAGGACTCAAATCACAGTTGGCTATATGTGAATCCAGCACCCTTAACCACCGTGCCACCTGCTGGTCCCAAATAAATAATTAAAAGAAAAAAAGTTGATAGTTTCAAAGAAAGAGTTCCAAGGGTTTTCTGCAGTTACTCCTAAGTCCTGAGGGTGAGTTTTGATCTTGAATGCATGGAAGGAACCACCTGAGGCTGAAAAACAAAACAAAACAAAACAAAACAAAAACAGACCTAAGGAAGGATTAGGAGAAACAATCCTCAGGCTTACATAGGCAAGCAATAGCTTGTGCTCCAACTAGCTAGAATGTAACAACCTTCCAATACATGGATAGTAAGTAGTCTTCAGAAGGACTTGTACCTCAATAATGGAGATAAATTAACCTAGACTAAAGGATAGTCTACATCTCTCCCACAAAGTTTAAAAGAAAAATCTCAAAAAAGGTCAAACTAATTCCAAGTAATAAAAGCCCAATATTTGAGACAACAAACCTAGCATCTAAAAAAATAAAATTAATAATATCAGCACTCAATTAGTATTCCTAAGCATGCAAAGAAGGAATAAAATGTAACCCATACCCGGGAGAAAATTCAGCCAATAGATACAGACCCCAAGATGAGAGAGATAATAGAATTAATTGACACAGATGTTAAAACAGCTATTACAAATACCAAAAAAAAAAAGAGATATGTTTAGTATGGTAGAGAAAAACATAAAAATAATGATGAAAGAAAGATATTTAAAAAACAAATTGAACTTCTATATCTGAAAAATATATAATCTGGGGCCAACTTGGTGATACAGCAGTGTAGTGCTGTTCATGCAATGCTGGATCTATATGGAAGATGGCTGGTTTGGTGCCTAGGTCAACCTGCACATGCCTGTGATCCTGGCTGGCTGAGAAGCCTGTGGACAAATCATGGCATGAGTCCTGTCAAGGATGCCATTTCTCCCTCCATCCTTCTCTCTCTTTCTCTGTGTCTATCATGAAAGAAAAAAAAAACTTTTACATATACATATATATGATCTGAAATAAAAAATAACTGAATAAGATTAAAAGCATATTACATACTACAGAATAAAATATTTTTGTACTTGATGACCTAGTTATAGAAACTATACAAAATGAAACAAAAAGATAAAAAAGGTTTAAAAAATCATAAGATTGGGACCAGTAGTTAACATAATGACTATGTTGCTGGACTCCCACGTAATCGACCACGGTTTGCGTCCTGGACCTGGTGACTTAAACTCACACTGGGCACGTGTGCGTTTAAGCCCAAGATCCTGAGAAGAGAATGGAGGGGGAGGGATTGTGGCGTGGCCACCCCCCTGGGGTGGTGATTTCTCGCTTTCTGTCTCTCTGTCTCTGTCTGTCTGGCGAGCACATGCACCCTTTAGCAAAAAAAAAAAAAAACAAAAAAAACAAAACAAAACAAAAAAAAAACACCTCTACAGAAAAAAAAAATCATAAGATTAAAGGGTGGTGGACAGAATGAAACAGTATAATATATGTATAATTGGAATATTCGAAAGGGAGGACAAAAATAGAAAAATATTTTAAAAATAATATCTGAATTATTTCAAATTTTATAATAATCATATACCCACAGATTCAAGCAGCATAAATATGGGGAAAAAAACACACAAAGACATATCACAATTAGTTTAGTAAAAGTCAATGATGAATGAATACCTTAAAAGTGCCCAAAGATAAAAGATACATGTTCAGAGGAACAAAGATGAAAATGGCAGCAGACTTTTCAACAGAAACTATATAGGCCAGAAGATAATGGAGGAACTTTATTAAAGTACCAAAAGAGAACAAAAATGTTTAACCTACATTTTTTTAAAAGAATTGTTGGGACCAGCAGTAAATGTAATGGCTGTGTAGCTGAACTCCCATGTAGTTGACAGCAGTTCAAGTCCCGGACCTGGTGGCTTAAACTCACGCCAGGCGCGTGTGCATGCGTGCCCAAGATCCCAAGAGGAGAATGGAGGAGAAGGGATTGTGGTGTGGCCATTCTCCCTAGGGGGTGATTTCTTGCTTTCTATATCTCTGTCTCTCTCTGTATTTCTGGCAAATACACGCGCCCTATAGCAAAACAAAAAAAATTGTTTATTTAATTTTATTTATCATTGATATTAAACTTTTTTATACAAAAAAATTTGCTGCAGGGCATGTGCATTCACCAGAGAAAGAGTGAGAGAGAGAAAGAAAGCAAACCACCAGATTTGGGAGTTAAACCTGGTTAGCCATGTGAGAGCCCAGTATCTTAAACACCATGCCACCAACTGCTTTCTAACTTCGATTTTTACATTCACAAAAATACCTTTCAATAGTGAGGACAAAGTTCTGCTTTCTCTTAGATATAGAAGGTTAGAAAG